TTTTTTTGGATTGCTCACGATTTGCGTGTTGAAAGCACCGCATCGCCTCGATATTTAGCCCAGCGTTTCCCTCACCAAGATACCTCGGCACCTGTCTCCTTCGAGGTACCCGCTTTGACAATGTCCGCCGACACCGACGCGACGGAGACTACCAGCCTGTTGGCCGCTGGCGCTGGCGCTGGTGCCGGTGATGGCCAGAGGAACTCCCCCGAACATGCGCCAGCATCTGGAAACGGCGCGACCTGGGCCGGTTATGATGCCGAATTCGCCAACAGGCCCAAGTGGAGGAGGCCATCGGTAGGAGCCCCTCGCCCTGCCATGCGTACCGCTTGAGCTAAGCTAACACGCATGAAAAAGGTCTACTGGTTGTTGCCGCCTTATTTCCTCTTCACTCTGGCTTTCGGTGGCTCCCTCGTGCCCAAGATCAACCTGATCATCGAGCTCGTGTGCAGCCGGTACCTGAGCGACCGCTCCGCCAGTGACCCAACTTTCATCTTCGCCCCCGTCATCCCGGGAGGGAACAACCCGCAGTGCAAGGAGAGTCCGGCCATCCAGAGCAAGGTGGCTGCCTTCAACATGCTCCTCAACCTCGTCACCGGCTCCCTCAGCGCCTTCACCGTACCCAAGATCGGTGCCTTGTCGGACCGCTACGGCCGCAAACATCTGCTGGTCGTCGCCTCGTGCGGTGGCATCGTCGGCGAGACGGTCATGATTCTGGCCGCCAAGTACCCCGAGACCGTTCACTACAACTGGCTGATCCTCGGCGCTGTCGTGGACGGTCTGGCCGGCTCCTTCACCGCCGGCGGCGTCGTCAGCAATTCATACACGGCCGATTGCACCCCGCCTTCGAAGCGTACCGTCGCCATCGGCTACCTCTACTCCTGCCTGTACGCCGGCCTGGCTCTCGGGCCCGTCCTGGCCGGGTACATGGTAGAGAAGTGGACGCACGAGCTCGTCTCTGTCTTCTATGTGACCCTGGCCTGCCACGTATTCTTCGTGCTCTTTATCCTGCTGGTCGTTCCCGAGTCCGTGTCCCGCAAACGCCAGCTGATGGCCCGCGAGAAGCACGCTGAGGTCGCCGCAGCAGCTCGCGCCCTCGCCGACGCCACGGCCGTGAGCTCCGGGAGTGGGCCGCTCGGTGCCTCCTTCTCCAGGTTGTCTGCCCTGGCTTTCAGCGGTACCAGCCCGCTTGAGCCTCTCCGCGCGCTGTGGCCAAAGGGGCCGGGCTCGAGCGCCACGCTGAGGCGCAACATTGTCTTCTTGGCTGTCATCGACACGGTCCTGCTTGGCATGGTCATGGGCGCAGGGCAGGTCATCATCATGTACACCGGCTTCCAGTTCGGCTGGACCACCCTGGAGACGTCCGGGTTCATCTCGATGACCTCGGTTATCCGCGTCGTCGTCCTCGTCGGCGTCCTCCCGCTCATCAACTACATCTTCCGCACCCGTCGCCGTTCTGCCACCGCCGTCGTCTCGGAGAAGAACGCGGGCGCTGATGAGGTGGACCTCTGGGTCCTCCGGGTCGCCATCATGTCAGACGTGCTGGGCGTGACTGGATACCTGTTTGCGCGTTCGCCCGCCGTCTTCGTGGCCAGCGGCGCTGTGACGGCAATGGGTGGGCTAGGAACCGCGACGACCCAGACGGCTCTCACCAAGCACGTCCCCCCAGAGAGCGTCGGCTCTCTGCTCGGCGCCATTGGCTTGCTACACGGCATCGCTAGGATCTTGGCGCCCCTGGCGATCGGCGGGCTGTACGCATCCACTGTCGCGTACTTCCCCCAGTCCCCGTTCGTCCTGCTGTTGGCCACGTTTGCTGGCATATTGGTTATTGCATTCTTCGTGAGGCCTCATAGTAAGTTTAAACATTGCCATGCCCCTTTTTTGTCCTTATCTCCTATTTTTCGTGCTTGCTGACGAGATACCCGACTTTCAAGTATATACGAAGGATGAGACTGAATACACCAACACTTCGTCTGAGCGGGAATGGAATCGCGGCGATCTTCTTGCCGAGGACGAAGTCATACCTGTCATTTAGTGTATAGATGCGGGGGGAGGGCTTTTGACGACAAGTTTGAAACCATAGATGGGATAGCGCCTGCGCGCAGAGGCTGGGTGTAAAGTTTTCGTCAGGGCCTTGAGGCGTAGGCGGGGAGACCAGGCGGGCTCATTCCCTAGATCTACCTAGACCATTTCCATCTCCTTACGGATTACTTAGTTGTATTTAACAGCATGCCATTTTCAGTCATATACACCAGCTGCATTCATACGAAACCTAAGTCTATAGGTAGTATCCAAAACTATTCAAGTTCATGGAAAGAACGCAGGTGATAGGTGCAAAGGTTACTTCTCGGGGGATTTGTGGGGGGAGCTCTGCTCCATGCCAAGTACCTTCCCGACAGGCAGAAGGCCCCACTCGAGCCAACAATTCAAGCACGTCCCAGCGACTTCCCCACATTGAACCAGCAGCGTCGCGCGACCGCGTCACGGCGAGGAATTGGCACAGCGAGGAATTCAGCATCCACCATCTCATCGCAGCGAAATATCATCCGCCACCCGCCCGACGCGCCGTCGTCGAAGAGTACCAGACTCAAACTGTCCATGACCAAGACCTAGGCGGGCGCGGTCGGGCAAAGACCGACAGTCACACCGCGCCCCGGCGCCCCTGGCGCCCCGATTCGCGATGGACCTCTCCATATTCGAACAGCTGGGCGAGGATGCAACAGCCAACTCGCGGTACGTCTGCCACACTGTCGACGACATTCGCACCAACCTCGAGGCCATTCTGCAGTCAAAGGCGACCGATGCCAAGGCGGAACACACAACGATAACCTTTAAGCTGCCCGCATCAGCCACGCTGAGGGTAGTCGTGACCGACGCTGAGAATGCCACCCTCGAAGCCGCCGCCGCGCTGGACCCGTCGCTGGGCGGCATGCGCCTCCCCGGCGGCCCGGCACAGATCCTAGCCCTGGGAAATGGCTCCTATCAGCGCCCTATCCGCGCCCACGATGCCATCTCCAACCAGCCTCAGGACCACCCGTTCCTGCAGCGCGCCGCCGCCAAGAGCATCACCGCTGCCTTGTCGCCTCCCAACGAGATCGGAACCTCGTGGATCCCCCGGAGCATCACCCGGGTTCCGGCCGGCTGGACCTTTGAGTTCGTATGCAAGGACTCTTTGCAAGAATGGAAGCGCCAGTTTGCCAAGGGCGTTGCCCTGCCCGTTGTCGGTCTGTCCAGCGGCAAGGATGGTCTGGACGCCGTCAACATGAGCAGGCCCGCCTTTGACTGTCGTGGAACCGTGACCGTCCTCTTCAACAGACAGGCCAAACAGATCGAGGTCAAGTACCACCACACTCCGCTGCACAAGACGGTGGCGGACCTGCTCGACTTTTTTACCCCGCCACCGGAACCGGTTACGCACAAGCGTCCACTGGATGGAGAAGGGGAGGGAGCAGACGGAGCATCGCCTCAGAAGAAGAAGAGAAGGAAAAGCCAGAAGACTGCGGATCAGCAGGACGGCGGCGAAGGCGCAGAGGGCGGAGAGGACGGGTCTGTTATAGACGGTACCCCGGCCAAGACGCCCAAGAGGAAGCGGCCGTCGAAGCCCAAAAAGCCAAAGACTCCAGCAGGGAGCCTCCCGGGTACCACCGGTGGTACTAACGCTGCCGCTACGAACCCAGACGGGAGTGCGGCCGCTGTCGCGTCTGGCGACGATTTCCTCAACCTCCCACCAGGCGAGGCGGCTAGGCGCCGGGAAGTCGCCAACAATCTGCTCTCTGGCAGTGGCATCGACCCCGCAACTCTGTCGGAGGAGCAGTTTAATATCTTTTCAAACCAGTCGCCTGATCTGCAGCAGGAGTCGCTGGCCATGCTCGTCAAGTACGGCGCGGAACGCCTTAGGATCGTCCATCCGGCCAATGCTTCTAGTGATACACAAGCCAGCCAGCCCAGCGCTAGCAGTTTGGTGGATGCTTCCCCTGCGCCCGAGGCTGCCGACTCGGCCAAAAAGACTGCCAGGCCTCGCAAGTCTGGGGCTGGGGCCGAGGCCGGGACTCCTTCAAAGGCCAAGCCACCAAAACTCACCAGAGGGAGGTGTGACGGCTGCAAGGATAAGAATATCAAGGTGTGTATCGAGATTTTGGCATCCGTCCTTTTTTTTTACTACCGTCCATGGTTCTCTCTTGTCCAAACTGTGAACGACCGTGCTGACCACGTCATGAATTCAGTGCTCTAAGATCAAGCCTGCCTGCAGTGAGTGCCAGGCCGAGGGCATAGAGTGCGTCTACCAGCTTCAGCAGACAAAAGGTCCAAGGGGCCAAAAATCGGACAAATTTGTCCAAGAGTCTCCTGAAATTGAGGAGGAAATCCAAGTGCAACAAAAGCCGGACGAGCAAGTGGAGCAGGAAGAGCCAAGTCAGGAACAGCAGATGCAAACTCAACAGCCTGAAGAGGAGGAGGAGGAAGAGGAGGAACCCGACGATCTCCCATCCCCTGGCTTTAGTCGGCCGGCAGGCGCTAATAGCTGGAACCAAACTGCAACGCCTGACTTGTCAACGTACCAGCACCAAGTTGAGACAGTTCCGACGACGGCCGGACTTGCATTTCCTCAGGACCTCGGAGGTTATGTAGATCACACGTCCATCCACGTTGCGGAATCTGTGCCTGCTGAGCCCGAGCCCGAGCCCGAGGTACACCACGTCCAACACGTCGAGCCCATTCAGCAGTCCATGGCCCGCGTTAGCCGCAGCAGTAGCGGTCGTCACAGCTTGCCGACAGGACAGCGCTCACAGACGGCAGTCGTGCCACCAGCAGCCGTGGAAACTACAGCATCTTCGTCTGCCGGCTGGCATCTTCCCGTTTCGTCAGCGGCATCCATGTCGTCGACGCTCATAAGCGCTGATTCCACAGCTGCTGCTGCCCTTGGCTACCACATGCGCACAAGATCCCGCACATCGTTACCGTCTGCAGGTTACGCGTCTCAGGCCATTACACATCATGGATTGCCCGATATTCCAGCTTTGCCCCAGGCGGCACCTCAGCGTCAAAGCCAACCCTCGCCCGAAGTACCGACATATCAGCAGCCAGTGTCACAGCCCATTGCGCAGCCGTCTAGGTCAGGGTCGAGGCAGAGTCAAAGGCCATTAAGCCGCAACGCACACACAGTTCAGGCGCCGTCGCGAGACCGACAGCAACAAAACCAGCAGCACCAACAGCAAACCCAGGCGGCGACGAAAGACCGGCCGGCTTATGGATCATCGACTGCTGAGGCGACCAATGCTTCTGGGAGCGCGTCGGCACAGGATCCCTATGCTCAATACTACAACACCCTGGGCACGGATAATACAGCGACGACCGCTGCCGATCAAAGCAATACCAACATCGCATACACGCCATACTCCAACCAACCCGCCCCGACTGCAGCCTCCACCTACAACTACGACACGAGTGGCTACAACACTCGCTCTCACGCGTCGCAGTCATACTCGAACCCAGTCAGCCAAGCAGCCGTTTCAGCATCGTACACGACCGCCGGTGCTAATAACACTAGCCAGTGGCCAAGCCAAACAGCCCAGACGCGTAGCTCTCAGGTGTACAACACGAACACGGCCACCAACGCCACGACGAACGCATCATCGAACAGCCGAAACGCCCATCCCGGGACCTCAAATTCGCCGGCTCTCCAGGGATACAACGTGCGGCCGCAGTCAAATTCTCCCCACACAAGAAGCGCAAGCCGAGCATCATACCATCAGCAGCAGCAACAACACCACCAAGTGCCTCAGGCCCAACCACAAGCACACCCACAGCGCCATCAGCGGCAACAGCAGCAACAACAGCAGCCGCCGCAAAAGCACCAGCAGCAGGGTTACGGGTCTTATCTGCAACAGCCGCAACAAGATGCTTCATCCAACCATCAGCAGCAGCAACCACAGCAGCGGCAGCAACAGCAACAGCAGCAACAGCAGCAGCAGAGCTGGTATGGATTCACCGCTGCTAACAGCAGTAACGGCTATGGGGCGACGAACAATCTGCAGCAGTCTTCGGCTAGTGGCGCTTATGGGGCGACACATGCTGGGGGCGGCTCGAGCTCGTATGCCCAACAGCAACAGCAGCAGCAGCAGCAGCAGCAGCAGCACCGCTCGGTGAACCTGCAGGGAAGTACATACGGCACTATCGAGGCGAGCGATGCCCTGTACAGCTTGCTGCAGAACAACCAGGGGCATTAGGGAGAAAAGCCAATTGGTCTATATATATGCCTAGATGATATGATTCACTGATTGACAGAAGCTGCGCTTTTTTTTTGCTCTTTACTTTGAAGGAGTCCAAAGGGAAGGCGGTGACGAGGCTGGTTCACTAACGAATTTGTGCGAAATGGTTATGGCACTCCCTTTTCTATGTCCGGATTGTCCTGTTTTTATTTTCTTTAGTTTCTGCGGCTGCGGACATTCGTTCCAGGCGCACGTACTTTATACCCAAACATGCAGCTTTTTACAGAAACCTTGCCTTTATCACCCATCGTGCACTTGCCCTGTCAGGCCCGTCGACCACTAGCGATATGGGCAATCTCCGTCTAGCGGGCGTCACAGACGCTACAAGTCGATGCAAGACGCAGGTTTACGCATGGAACTACCTACGCCTGGAGTGTGACAGATCCTCAAGGGTGGTTTCGGATCTCCTGAGATAACCAGGCCCTTCGCCAACATGGATACGGCGGTAGTTACGTCACAATGCTTTTTTTTTTACTTGTTTATTTGTACAGTACATTCCGAAAGACAGCAGACACTCTTTTCTAGCATGCCATCCAGCCGCAAGATGCCGCCGCTGCACTCTCGGGAACATGTCCTTCCCACCCCCACCCGACGGTCGCCCATACTAGATGACCTCGCCGGGGTCCACGTGCACGGGCTCCCACGGCCTGGCGCCCTCGACTAGCATCTCGCCGGGGAGCCTGGCGTGGGGCCCGGGGCTGTAGAGGTACCAGGCCTTGAGGGCGTTCATGGCGGCGACGTGGCGGGCGTGGGGCAGCGTCGCGGCGGCGCCCTCGCCGAGCTTGTCGGCGCCGCTAAAGATGCCGACGACGAAGACGGGGGTGCGCGAGGAGCGGCCCGTCTCGGACAGCATGCGGGCGACGGGCTGCTCGAACTCCTCGCGCTTGCAGAGCGTGGCCAGCTCCCGGATCGGGTTCCGGAACCCGAAGAGCGAGGCCAGGTCCAAGCGCCGCGACAGCACGTGGGCCTTTACGAAGCCGACGGCTACCTCGCGCCCGCAGTGCGCGTAGAGGGCGCCGGCGACGGCGCGCACCAGGTCGGCGTGCGCGTCCTGCGCCTGCAGCCGCTTGTCAAGCTTGAGCTCGGGCAGGGGGCCGCCGTTCTCCCCCTCCTCCTGTCCCCGCGCGCTCTCCTCGCCCTCGCCCCCCCTGCGGCGGCGCGGCGGCGACGGCGGCCCCGCGGGGAGGGCGTCGCCGAACTCGTCGTCCATGACGACGCGGCTGTGCAGGCTGTGCCTCCAGCCGAGCGTCTCGATGCGCTCGGCGTAGGGCCTCACGTAGCCCCACCTCGTGGCGACGCCGCGGGGCCGGGTCGTCGAGAACTGCAGCAGGCCCGGGTCGACCTCGTTGCCGGGCTCGGCCGCGGCCTCGACTCCCCAGGACCGGGCCACCTTGGCGAGGGCCTCGGGCCCGGCGTAGCCCCTGGTGGCGGCCGCGGCGACCGAGAAGGGCAGGCGCGGGTACGTGCAGATCAGCCACTCGTTGGCTAGGTAGTTGACGAGCGCGTGCCCCACGTAGGCCAGGTTGGCGTTGTTGAAGCGTGAGTCGGCGTCGGCTGACGGGTCCACGAGCGCGCGCGCCAGCGTCTGGAGCGGCAGCTTGTCCGGCAGCGAGAGCCGCGCGTGCAGCGCCGCCAGCTTGGCAGAGTGCAGCGCGCGCTCCGGGAGCGGCGACGGCCACAGCCCCTCCTGGACGGCCTCGTCGCCATGGAGGTCCTCATAGGCGGTTGCTTCGGCTGCGCTGTGCTGTTGGCGGCGCGGCTGCTGCTGCCACGGCTGCCGTATACTTGCTGCTGCTGTTGTTGTAGGTGTATGTGTGCGTGTTCTGGGGAGGGAGGCCGTGGCCATCGCTCGCGTGCTGGCGGGAGGGTGTGGTGATGGCCGGGCGACGAGCAGCTGGCCCGGCCATCTCCTCAGACATGCCCTCTTCATGGGGGCGTCTGGCTGGCTGGTTCTTGGTTGATTGGGACTGCGGGCCCGTGGGCGGTGCCGAGGCTGGGAAGGGTCATGCAACAGAGTTGGCCGGCCCTTGAGCGTTGCACGTCGTCAAGGTCGGCGCCAGACCCCAAGTATACGATTTCGACCATCTCCCTCTCCACACAGCAAAAAAAGTTTCGCCCGGTCCATGGCCCGTCAATTGAGCTCTGCCCCACTATGCGGCACGAGGCTGTGCTGACCTAACTGAGCCCGTTCCTAGTCTTGTCCAATGAAACGCTGCGAATTCGGCACAAGCGTCTGGTACCTCGTGGAAAGTGGGCCATCCCGACACCACCAGCGTCGCCAAAGCTCCGTCACAGAAGCCCCGGCTTTCGTAACATCACGACTTCAATCCACGACGCTCAGTCGAACCGAGCCCTTTTACAAAGCCAGAAGCCACAGCCAAAATGGTAGGCTTATTTGATCCTGCTATTCCATGTGCCCACTGCTAACTGATTGATTCACAGGGTGGCGGTCCGAGAGTCGCGTAAGTTCAATTGACCCCCCTCGACGAGCACGATCAAAGCACCGACGACAGCCAACGACGCCCAACGACACACACACGAGCGCCCATACCTGACACCGAAACCCCCTGACCCAGATACCCCAAGCACGTCTGGTCGCCCGCCGGTGGCTGGTACGCCCGACCGTCCAACTGGAGGGCGAACACGGCCGTTAGCCTCGTCGCCATCGCCGGCGTCACGGCCATGGTCTGGAAGGTCAGCGCGGACCTCGAGGACCGACCTCGAATGCCCGAGAAGGGCCGCTTTTACCCGAGCAGATAGTATGTCGCCCCAGAGCGCTGCCGTGATGCCGCGGGACCCGGGTGGATGCTCGCCGCTGCGGCGTTCGGCCCTCCGTGTCCGGCTGACGGTATTACATACCCCGCCTCGCGTCCGTCCAGGTGGCTAACCCACTTCTTGTCGTAGCTGGAGCAAGCAGGTGATTGAGCACGAGCGCAGGGAGAGGGAAAAGGAGAGCAAATCGGGCGAGCAGTCATCATAAAAGCACGTGCTCGCATGCCGGCCCTGCCGTCGCTGCTCTTGGCCCCGTGTACATAGATCAGGATCGGGATCTCCAGCCACAAACCATTTCTCTTTTCCCTCTGACCAAGCCTCGAGAAGGGCTCTACCGGCCACCGGAACACATGCCCCTTGTTGTCTCCCTGTCACATCGCCAGCTTTTGGCCAAGAGGTATAGGCAACAAAGAATGTCTCTCAAGACAATAGGTATTCTTTCGCACCACCAGTGTCTCTTTGAATCTTTTGGCCCACATTCCCTTGTTTTTGGAATCAATGCCTGACTTTCAAAGGCCTCCATCCAGGTCCAGTAACTGTAGTGCCGTTTGTTGATGCTTTCGAGTCCCCTATATATTCCTATATGCCTCGTCACACCTATCTCTTACTCGTAAGTAATATAGGCTTCACAGGAAGGCTTCACAGGAAGACTTTGTAAAAAGGCTGTCGCATTAGGCATGTCCGTGGCTCCCCACTCGAGAAACGCCTCAGCTGCTTGCAAAATGCCGGATGCCGACAGCGTCACCCGGGTTGGGCAGTTTTTGCCGCTTCCCAGGGTCGCCCTTCTCAGGGACCGCAACTGCCAAAAGATCGCCGTGTGCACTATTTGCTACGAAGATACCGTTTACCGGCACGAGCGCAGGGTTCCATCTCCCCAGGACAGCATGGCCATTTTGCCGTGCGGTCATATATATTGCCTTGGCTGTATTACGGATACGCTTTCCAGCGGCCGCGAGGCCGAATGCCCGACCTGCCACATTTCCCTCCGCCATAGCGATTGCGGGCATTGCGTTCGGCCGCGGCTCCTGTACGAGGAAACCCTGCTGACGCTGCCCAAGGTCGTCAAGTCGGCCGCCGAGCTCCCGAAGCTCTGCCGGCCGTGCACCAAGGCGAAGGAGGTCAAGCATGCGATGTACCTCCATATAATCTTCTCGATCGAAACCAGGAGGCTAACGGAGCTTTATGAGCGAAACCAAGATGAGGGTACCTTTCAAAGACTCATCGAGGCTGACCGCCTGAGCCACGAGATTGTCATGAACTCATTCACCGCCCAGGTTGACTGGTAACCTAGGTTTGGGCATTTGCGAGCCATTCGTTGCGCAGATGGGAGCTACTTGCCTCATAGACACTGCAAATCACCAACATATATATATATATATATATATATATATATACGTAAATCCCGATATACGTTATCCGCATGATCTTGGGTGGGCTAATACCAGTGATAACCAGGCCCCTGACAGAATCATCCGCAATGTGTCGAGCGAGATTTGTATTGTCACGGGAATGTTGAGACAGCCAGTTCCCGAGTAAGGAGTGAAGCACACCCTGCCTGTGGGGATAACCGTGATCATTCAAGACATCAAGCGCCAACTGTCTAGCAATCTCCGATATACCACATAATGCCAAGCTGGCTGTCGGTAGCTCTGTGGTTGCGGGGGGCTTCGTACTGCATTCCAGTCCCAACCACACTTCCGCATACGGTTGTTGCTTTTAGGACATTTCTTTTTTCGGTTTGCGTATCCCGGCAGGATCTCCTTTGTCTTGAAAAGTCACAATAATGAGCTCCTAACCCATCCCATTTTAATCCACCTGCTTTCTTTACCTCTGTATCCATCCCACACGATCCAAAACCACTTGAACCCCTTGTCCGTATCTGACAAAGAAAGACTATATACGATACTTGTCCCCGAGCTGCAGCAAGCATTATGTTCATCCAACCAAGGGTTTTCAATACGTTGCAAACCAAGCACGATTCCGGTTCACCAACGCCAGTCATAGCTTGAAATCACCACCCCATACCCAACTCTGCGATGCGCTTCATGGACATGGATAAGGACGCCGATGAGAGCGATTCTGGCAGCATATCCAGCAGCCCGCTGGCCGGGCCGACCAGCGCCGCCGCCCCCGAGGAGGGGCGCGGTCCAGAAGGAGCGGCCACGTCGATCGTGAGTCGCATGAGGAAAAGGCTGGCCGAGGCGGCGTTCGGCACCGCCGAGCCCGGTTCCGCGCCCACGCGCCCCGGGCCGCCACTGCCACCGCCCCAAAAGCACCGGCGGACCCTCGCGGGACCGGGCACCACCACCACCACCACCCCTCAAGCACGGGCCGACGAGACCGCCGCCCCCCGCCCCACGCCGGCGGCCGCGCGGCAGGAGGGCGGCCTCGACCACCCGGACGTGCCCGCCCCGACCAGCACCGCCGAGTTCCGGGCGCTCCTGGAGCGGCTCCGGGGGGCTCCTCACGGCCTGCAGCGGCGACCCGGACCTCGGGCGCGCGCGGCTCATGGTGCGCGTGTGCGAGGAGCTCCGGCGCTACGGGGCGGGGCGGCGGCGGGCGCACCGCGAGGCCGTCGAGGCGCTCGAGCGCCACATCAGCGACGGGGCCGACGACGACGAGGTTGGGTGGCTGGTCGGGGCCCTCGAGGCCGCCCGGTCCGTCGAGTGCGGCGATAACCTCCTCATGGGCAGCACCGAGGCGTACTGGGCGCACGCCAGGTGTCTGGATGGGCTGCTGGTCGAGCTGGGGGCGAGGATCGAGTTCCGGGAGTTCCTGGACGGTGGCTCTGGGATCAGTCCGGTCCGCCGTGTTGATGGCTTTGGGGTGTATTATGAGGTGTAGGAAGGGGTCTCTGCTAGAATACTGTGTTGATAGGTAACCCGAAGCGAATAGAATCGCAGCGACAACCCGGTTATGGCTTACTAGTTCACAGTTGAGAGGCGCGGGTTGCTGTCACATCAACCGTGACACCCGAGAATAAACATGAGCAAGACAGATCTGTGTGCCCATAAATGAATGTCTGCGATTGAAACTACACACGCTTGCCTATCACACTGACAACTGACACCTAGACCCCTGGCTGGGGGTACTTTAGCCTCTCAGCTCCACTGCTCACGTGTGGTTGGTGTGGTATTTACTGTCCCGCGCTCTAAAAAGGATAATATACTGTCTGATAAAACGCCGTGCTCCGTGATTCTCATGAGAAAACAATAAGAAAGGTAGTAAAAAAAAAAGGGCCCCATGGCTTGCGCCTGAGACAACAAAACACACAACCTCACATCACAGGAAGTAATCAGCCACCGGCTTCTTGGCGGGCATACCGCGAGAATCCTGGGGAGCGGCCTGGAAGACGCGGTAACGGCGGGCGGGCCCGACGCGCATCTCGGCGTCCTGCTCCATGAGGGCGCCCTGACCCCAGCCGCCGTTGCTGCGGTTGACGTCGCCGTTGCTGCGCGAGAAGACGCCCTGGCCCGACTCGTCCTCGCTCAGCTCGAGCAGGGCGGCCACGTTGCCGCAGCGGTAGCAGTAGTTGGGCGCGGACCAGACGGTGACGATGCTGGCGTCAAACATCTCCTTGAACCCCTCCATGACCAGCTGGTGCGCGCGCGCGATGAGGCTGAGGTCGTTGCGGTGGTTGAAGACCTTGACGATATCATTGCCAAACAGGTAGCCGGCGCCGCGCGGCGACAGGCCCCAGCCGTCGATATCGTCCGGGTCCGACCAGAGCAGGTCGCACATGGCGCCGTCGTGCGGGACCTCCTGCTTGCGATCGAGCAGCCGGATCTTATCCATAGTGTCGATCAGCGGGCTCAGGCCTCCGTGCACGCACAGCACCGCACCAGCGGGGTTGCCCACGGTGCCCCCGCTCGACCCGGACGCGCCGCTGCCCGGCGGGCCCGTCTTGGACGGCGTCCCCGTCGGCCCGGCGGCCGAGGAGGAGCCCTCGGGCGAGGGCGCGCCCCCGTTACGAGCGTCCTCCTGCTCGGCTTCGGGGCGTTGCTGACGTGAAAAACGCGTAATGATGTCACCGTCCGCGTTGCACACCTCGATCTCGCAGTCTTTATCCGCGTAGTCCTGGGCCGGGACGGAGTGGTTCGGGGAGCCGAGCTGGTTCGAGGCCCCCAGCACGATGGCGCCGAGGGCTAGATAGTCGAATACATCGCAACAATACCGCCATACGTTGGCGCTGCCGTATTTGCGTAGGCACTCGTCGTAGAAGCCGTAGACGGTCGTGATTTGCCGAGACTCGTGGTTGCCGCGAATAAGGGTCATACGGTCGGGATATCGGACCTTAAGGCAGAGCAGGAGGAGGAAGGACTCGAGGGAGTAAAAGCCGCGGTCGACAAAGTCGCCTGTAGCGCACCCCATCATGTATCAACATCATCCACACAGCGCCAGGTGGCTTGCGGGTCCTTGGGGCAGGCGGGGAGAGAGGGGAACGCACCCATGAACAGGTAATTTGTATCAGGGACGTCGCCGCCGACGCGGAAGAGCTCCATCAGGTCGTGGAACTGCCCATGGATGTCGCCACAGATCTAGACAGAGCGTGGGATTTGTTTTAGTGGCCGGGCCATGCGAGTCGGCTTCTCAACCACCAGCAAAGCGACAGGTAGGTAAGGCCGGTACATACAGTAACAGGGGCGGTGACGGTGACCACATTGCCCTCCTCGATGAGGAGCTCTCTAGCCTTGATGCAGAGCTCGCGGACTTGGGCCTCGGGGATGGGTCGGCAGGCCCGCAGCTGAGCGATGGCCCTGCGATGCGCGACGGCATACGCATGTTAGCCAGGGGCGCTAAAGGGAGAAGGATTGAGGTAGGGCGGCTTGGGCTGGGCTAGCGAGGGGCTCAAGAAGCGAGGGGTGTGTGCTTGCCTGTCAAGGTCGCTCATCTTTAGGAATCGCGCCGCCGTCCAGGGGAAAGTGTCTTGGACGAGAAATGCGGTGTTGCTTGACCAAGCAAATCATGCCATGACCTTCTGGGAATTAGGAATATCGGCAGTCTGCAACAAGCGCAAGAGGCTCTATCCAGTGGTTCGCTACAAAGGGTGCGACGTTTCTATGAATTCTCTGTTTTTTTTATTCGTCGATCCGTTGCAGCGACGCGGGCGCTCAGCTCTGTCGCGCAATCCATTCGCGCTCAGCGTTGGTGCGACGAGATGATGTATTGGCCCCACCCAACTAAAGTTCGTGCATATGTGGCTCGGCACTTGTGGCTTGGACAGCTGCCTGTGGCTTTGAGATTTTGCGCCGAACCTTGCCAGCCCAGCCAATGAGCGTCCCTCAATTGCCATCCATGAGCTCCAACTTTGATCAGGATATTTCCAGGCGCCCCTCCACAGCCAGCTCAACTGCCCGCCCGCCCGAGCAGAGAAGCACAGCTCAACTTGGGGCGAATTGGGAGCTTGATGCCCTAGAAATAGGGTCATTGCAATGTCGAGGCCAGACAATCTAGTATAACCAGCCGTATGTGTTGTTCTGTGCCTGTACCAAGGTACCGGGGACCTTGGCACCTGGCGCTGACCTACTGCCCAACGAAACAGAAGCCACCGCGACGACGACGGCGACGACGACGAAGACACCTAGCGCCTGGCCTTGAGTGCCAGTCGCCTGCGCAGCACCCCTTATGGCGCCACCACACCTCCATCCACGGTCGCGCATGACCTCGTCCCTTTTTATGACCACCGTCTTCGCGAGCTTCTTCGTCGTGGCCCTGCCGCATGTCCTACCATGCCCTGCGCCGAGAAAGGCCTTCCTCGATGGCGAAGTTTCGGTTGACGCAAATGGCAGGCGCCGCCGCCGGAGGAAGCCCCAGGACCCCGAGGTCAAGGGCGGAATCGTGCAGTTTGACGTCATGAACGCCCCCGTTGAGTCGTCGCCCGCAGAGCCGGCCGCCGCAACGAGGAGGGAATGCCCAGTGCCCAAGCCGGGTGGCGTCGTGGGCGAGCTCCTAGGATTCAGGAAGTCGTCGGCAAGCGAGCAGACAGAGAATACCAGGAGGTGACCACACGGGATGATGCGCCGCTTGTCGCATAGCCAAAAAAAAACGTGTATAGAAGGGGCTCGGCCGGTGGCAGCAGGGAGCAATGCCACCAGGTCACCAATGGCTGGCGAGAACGAGCCGACCAAGCCACGATCTACTTTGCTACATAAATTCACGCCCGAAACAACGAACGGGCGGCGATATCTAGCGCTGAACCCTACAGAATAAGGCCTATGATAGAGGCGTTGACCCACGAGATACACCAGACATTTCATAGAATGTTCCAGCTTGGCGCCATTTTGTTTCTCTCGGCATCCATAGCGGTACATCACATGTGTATGATGAGTACGCAGTGCGGCTACGGAACTTGGGCCTTCTCGTGGGAGCGAGTCGCGATAAACTTCTAAATCGAGGTCGCCAAACACCCCTGATCTGCAGATCGGGGAATATATCTCGTCTATCCTGGCCTCCCCTCTGCATAATGTGCCAGTAAGCAGGCAGTAAGATGGCTGTATTGTGGGTGAGGACTTCTCATGGAATCCTGGACGGATGTGCGCCCGGTCCCCGTGCTTGCCAGTGGGGCTAACCCGAGCCGTCTGAACTTCATGCTATCCGTCGTTCCTCCTCCTAACCCCTCTAGCCGGGCTAGGACGGGCGGCTATCACATAAAATCACCCAGATTTAGAGATGAGGCGCTGCCAATAACAGCCTTTTGGTGCGCTTGTCCATTCAGCAACCGCTGGGAAGGAGGTTCACGCAGATTAGAGAAGCATATCGGCACTACGCAAAGTCGTAAAATCCCAGGTCCCTCAGTTTGGAGTTGGATACCTTAGGTACCCAGAGTTGGGGTATACCCCTCACAAGGCGGTGACTTTCATCACCAGGTTTTCTGTCACTTATTCTTTCCTTTTCTTTTGCCTCACATTTCTTGCCCGGCTCGTCGATCTCGCGGTAAAAGGCATATTTGAGCTTCTTCTTTTTTGTGGGGACCAACTGCTAACGTCCGGATATGCATATGCCCCCCTGCTTGGTCGGCAGTCACAGTCGAAACCGCCTGTCGCTGTGGTATGGCATTCTTGACAGCCGTTACTCAACGAGGTGTCACGAAACCGCCCTTCTCCACAGAACTACCTAGATGCATGGCACCACACTGTGCCCGGCACATCTGCGCTTGCCTCCCTGTCCTTTCGGGGGTGCATATCCTGGAGACTACTCTTGGCGTAGGCTCAGCCAGCGGGGGCAAGGCACATCTTCCGGCCCTGAGAGGGTGTCATCCCAAGGCGATCAGGGAGCAAGGACGGGTAATTCGGCGAAGACACTGACCATGGGACCGGGGCCAGCCTTCCGGAGGCCAGGTCTTGGCTCCCTTCAGCGAGCCTTGGGACAGCGGTCAAACCTTGCGGATATTGACTAACGTAGTATTCTCCGTGGCAAAAGAGGCCCATGCTTGGTATCCGGCCGTCTCTTGTTTGTCTTGGGACGACACCACCGTGGGCCGATGATCATCGCATGGGAGCAAGTCTCACCAGCGTGGCATCGGGGAGGTTCCAAACCTCAGCGTCGCGGGACTTGACCTGCTCCGTCTCGGTCATGATTCCCCGGTTCTCCAGACGCGAGATTCTTTAAGGGCTGGCGAAATGGAGATATAAACCACGTCGCTTCCCGCCGTTCCTCTGGTCTAGATTCTTTCTCCTCATCCCTGGAGGCCATCAGCACTCTCTTCACATCTTCAAGATACCCTTTGCTTAATTCCCTCTTTCAAACACCCCTTTTAAAACCTAATCTTGTATTAATCAGAGCTGTGCTCTCTTAATTATCTTTCTATCTTTTCCAAACCCACTTGCCATCTTCAACATGAGGTTCAGCACTGCTCTCGTCTTCTGCGCCGGCCTGGTGTCGGTCAGCGCACAGGCAGCCCAGGGCGCAACCGCGAGGAGCGAGATCGCCACCTCGGACTCGTACCTGTCCTCGTACCTGGGCAGGCGCCAAAACCAACGTGCGGCCGAGGCTGCCAACGGAAAGGCCAAGGAGGGCGAGAAGGCCCAGAACAAGGCCGGCGCGGAGAAGGCCAAGGAGGGAAAGGGAAACAACGCGGCCGAGGGCGAGGAAGAAGCCGCCGAGGGGGAGAACAACAACGCGGCCGAGGGAGAGAACAACAACGCCAACCAGGGCCAGATTGAAGAGGGCAACGCCAACAACGGCACCAACAACGCCAACAACGGCACTGAGAATGCGGGCAACGACAGGAACAACAACAACGGCAACAACAATCAGAACAACGGCCAAAACAACAACAACAACAACAACAACAACGGTGCGGGTGTCAACCTCGGCCAGGGCTTGAGCCAGGAGGACCTCGCTCGCCTGCTCGCCGGCAACAACAACCTGGGCGGCATCGACCTCAACAACCGCGACTCCATCCTCGCCGGCATCGGCCGCCTGATGAACGGCCTCTGCGTCGGCAACATCTTCAACGTCAACCGCAACCAGCTGTTCGCCCTCAACTCCAACCAGCAGCTCCAGCTCCTGTTCCAGCTGCAGCAGATCCAGCAGCTCCAGCAGCTCGGCTTCGTCAACGGCGCGCAGGTCCAGAACCTGTTCAACGTCGGCTTCAACAATAACAACATCTTGGCCCTCGGCGGCATTGGCGGCATCGGCGGCGTCCCCGGCATCAACGGCTTCAACTTTGCCGGCTTCAAGCGCGCGGTTGCCGAGCAGATGAAGGTGAGCTCATTCCACTCGCCCTCGCAAAATACTACCAAGCCCCCCTGAGAAATGTGCGATTGCTAATCATGAACGTCGACACCATAGAATCTCAAGAGGACCGAGCTCCGCCGTGGAGTCCACGCCAAGAGACAGCAGTGCAAGCAGGCTCAGCAGCAGCGCCAGCAGTCGGGCGACAGGAGGCAGAAGGCGTAAGGAGGAGAGACGTGCACAGAATCAAGGCTAAAGGCGCTGGGTGTGCCGGGATCCATGTCTTGGGCCATCCTGGGAGGCGAGTGCCGTTGCATGTGCGGGGGTGAGAGGCCGCATTGCGCCCGAGCCCCCCTTGTATTCTTATTTAGTGGGGACATGCGGGGGGTTTGATTCGATACCAGCCATGAATTTCAACGTTTCTTGGGCCGTGCCCTTGTCGATGATACCCTTCTCGGTTCATGACCCATGCTCCAAGTGCCGGACTAGAGGGGCCGTAGCCTCGGGCGTTGCCCAAGTGATCAAGATGGCCGGTTTCGCTGGAAACAAGGGCACTTTTCTTGTTGGCCCCATGTGGTCTGTACCGATTGCTACGCCAAGTAAATGTGGCGTGGCGATGCTGTGGCAAAACGTCGACGATGTGTTAGACTATGTGTTTCTAGCTGTCTTGACGGCCGCCTGTATTGTCCATAATGGTTTACGATTAAGTCCATGTCGGATGGAGATTAAGAGGAAGGATTCACATGAATAGCCCCCCTTGTGTGGACTGACCATTATCAGACGATGAAAACGCCGAAAGGGCGGTTGGCCCGAGCTCTCCAGCAAGCTACCGCATCCTAGGAATTTGAGCACGAGCACAAGTTGAGATGACAGGAGTTTAAACTCCCCGGCCAACTCGAGGCAAAAAGCAAGCAAGGCAGCCGTTGAGGGAAGGCCCCGTTGTTGCAGCGCCATTAAAACGTTGCGTTAGTGGCGGCGGATGCAGGGTGGCAGGCAGGTTGCCCAGCCCGAAGGATTTGTTTCAACCACACACGAGGTGGTTTTCAGTTCCCCTCCCACTCCTCCTTTCCACCACCGCGTCACCGTGCTGCCCTGACGCACGTGGGATTGCTTTGCCAGCGACCCGGAAGCATAGGGAGCTTGAGCAGCTCGCTTGTGCGATGGGTGCGACCATCCAAGTTCGGCGAGTTCGGGAGGAGGTTTCTGGAAACACACAAAGGCTTCAGTGGGGGTCACTCGACGAGTCGTCGGCGCCCCATGCAATGACACAAACAATTTCCCGAGAGTCAGCTCCCGAGAGTCAGCTGTCTGGGCGTCAGTCACTCGATGCCATCGCTCGTCATCAATTTCCCGCTCGTTGCGAACCCCGATCGGAAAGCAGGAAAGGGGGCAGCCGCTAAATGTCCTGCCAGGGCCGGCTTTTTGCATAGCTGGCCGTCGTATTGCTGTCTTCCGCGCGGGACGTGCCTCACCTTGAGACCTGCGACAGTTGGTGACTGATGAGTCCGGCATCCTTGTCCAGTGCTGCGATCAATCGGGACAGGGCACCACAGTGAGTGGAGGCCTGATCCCAGCATTGAGATGTTGCAATAGCCAAGCCGCTAGGCTGACCCGTTCGGAAGGAGCTGGCCCCCTGCGCAGCACGGAATTTTGAAGCTTGGGCACCAAAAAGGCTGGGGGAACCCCGCGAACTAGTGGAGTCCCAGGTGGCTCCCAACGGCTGCTGACGACTCAAGACGGAATATATCCCCGACCCAACGACGTCGCTGCATTTACCCACTCACTCTACCTCGGACGGCGAGCCATTGAGCTGCCTGCTTACGACACATGCTTCGGCGGCTTGGCGTGAAGAAGAAAGACAACGCCCGAGAGAAGGAAGCAGAGATTCGTCTGTGCCCGCCCTGTCGCCCTGGCCAGCTATCCTGGCGCTGGTCGCATCGTGGCTTTCTGCGTTTGACAACGGCTTCACTCCAAGACAAACGTCGCCGCCGACAACGGCCGTTCGCAATGCCCCGCCGACAAAAACGCACACAAGACAAGCGACGCCTCGCCGCATGGCAGGCATAGTCTAGCAGACGCCATGCATGTCTGGCCGAGATGCTATCCGGCTTCCCGGTGGTGGAGGCTGTGCGCCGATAACTTTATGGACCCTGATCCATCCGAACTTTTAATCTGTTCTCCGGGCCCTGCTGCTCGGACGTCAGGCAAGGCCTGGGCTGCAGTCCTCAGCGGAGTCGATCTCGGGGACTTCCCCTGCTGAATAGAAAGGCGTTGACTGGGTAGCGTCAAGGGCCCGTGGCTGCCACCCAAGATGACCTGACGAGATTGCCCTGATTCAAGGCCAACTAACATCGCAATTTACCAACTGACAAGGTATGTGCCACACACAACATGTAAGCAGGTGCCTTTGATAAAGACTCCAGAATTTGTTTCCTGCGAGGGGAGAGCACACCCCAGGCATGACATGGCTCCCTGGCTTTCAGCCCCGAGAGGTGAATGCAACTGCGCGACTCCACCAGACGAAGGCAGTCGTCAAAACTGCGTACTTTGTGAAAATGACTTTACGGAGGCTTGATCGGAAGCACCACAAGGCGTGGCCAGCGAAACGCTGCGAAACGCGCACTAACCCTCGGCGTCGATCAGGGAAAATAGCATTGGGCCGCTCGCGGAAATCGAGGCAAGCGGTGCGGGGGCCCACCACACCGACCTCCTGGTGGCCTGCGGGCCCGGCAGTCGATGGGAGGCACCAGCCAGCCGGGCAGCCGAGTGGGCGCAAGGGAGTTGTGCACGAGCCTTGGCGCATGGTTGCGCTCCATTCCGCCGTTAAGGTTATTCTGTCTTGGGGCCGAGGGGGATTCCCTTCCTCCCACGAGCACCCTGCCCCTTCAAGCCAGCCCCTCCCTGTCCGTCCCAACATCGGCCAGAATGCCTTCCGTCCATGACTTCCCGCCTTGTACAACGTCTTCGTCTGGTCAGCCCGTGCCGGGTATTTACGCCCCCCCAGGGGTGGAACAGGCAGAAGAGACCAGGCGATCCCAGCCGTTCCCTCATTTTTGCCCCTCGCGAGCTGGCTCACATCTGAATTCTCGCGTTGCCGAGCAGGGAGGCGGGTATCTAAGTAGATAGCTACTACTTTGCTACATACCCAGTCTGAGGCAGCAAGTGCTGTTTGGGACACGAGTTGTTCGGACCTACCAAGGATCATTCTGCTTTCTCATTCCCGTCCTGCCGCCACACGAGCTTCCTGAGCACCTCCATACCCTGCGGCTAAGATGCTTGCTGTTCACCAGGGTGAAGGAGTTGGTGAAAAAAAGGAAGAAAGTGTTTCTCTTATGCTCCTCACATGCCGCCACCCCTGGGACCCTGCCTGCTGGGCCAGGCCCAGAGGGCGTGGCCCCTGGCAGCCGCCAGCAACGCCCGTTTTACCCAGCCGTTTCCGTCCGGAGTCTGACACACCCCGGAAGCATCCCTCACTGCGCTTCCGAGGTGGATCGTCCTCTATTCGGCCCTAGGCACATGGCGCTTGGCGGCCGGCTAGTGCCTCAAGTCATTTGCCATTGGGCTGGAGGCCTGATGGCCAAGAGGACGAGGCAGGATCGTAGGATCGAGAAAGGGCATCCCGCTCAGGACGCCAATCTTGGCAGCCCAGACTTGTATATAAGCGGCCGCCAGTCTTGCCTCTTGGACCGATCTTCTTCTGTTTCCTCATCCACACAACCATCCTTTCAGTCCAATCTTAATCAGTCATTCTCTTTTCAGAGGTGAGCCTCCTCGGATCCCCTCCTCCCTCCAGTCCCGTCTTATCTGCGATCTACCAAGATCGGGACAAGGTTCGGGTGCTCTCCTGGCGCTGCAGATTCAGACAAGCTAACATAACCACCGCCATATCTACAGCTGTGCTCTTCGTTCACTTCATTCCTTCAAACTCATAACCACTCTCATTTGAACATCTTTTTCGAGCTGTGCTCTTTAATCATCTTTAATATCAACTCACGGTCTTTCAAACCAACAAACCCAAACCACCCTAAAATCTAACCACCCCACCCTCCATCAAAATGAAGGCAGTTTCCATGATCGTTGGCGCTTTCGCCGCCCTGGCCATTGCCGCCCCCACCACCTCGGTCGTCGACACCACCCCCAAGGAGCTCGAGACCCGCGCGTTCGCCTTCGACCTCAACGCCTTCAACAACTTTGGTTTCGCCAACCAGGACCTCGCCTACCTCGGTGTCCTGAACCAGATCCCCTTCCAGACCCTGTACGGCCTGGCCATCAACAACGGTCTGCAGCTCAACGCCTTCCAGGGCCTGTTTGCTCAACAGGCGCAGTTCGACATCGTCTCCCTCATCCAGCTCGCTCAACTGCAGGCTCTCGGCCAGGTTGCCCAGCTTGGCGTCTTCAACGCCTTCAACCTCCAGCAATTCAACTTCGCCCCGCTCGACCTCGGCCTGCTGCTCCAGAGCTTCAACGGCTTCAACCTCCAGCAGTTCGTCGGTGCCGGCATTGTTCCCCAGATCGGCGCCATTGCCCAGCAACAAGGTAAGCACCAATCTCTCCTTTTCCCTAATGAAACAGAGCAACAAAGCATCAGCGGAAGCAGCCGCACCCAAAGGAGCACACTGGCATCGGCGACCCTGCCCTTCACTGGCAATCTGCAGCACTGCCCGCACCGCCCAGGGAGTGACTCTAGCTTCCCACCACCTCATGAGCACCCGCGGGGGAGTCTCCTAAACTCTTCAGAGCACACACACACCCCTTTGGGTCTTGTGAGGTGGTGGGATCTCGAGCTCTCATATTTACTCTGCCAACCCCACAGAGTTTCTGAACCTGGGCGGAAGTGGCTCGGGCTTCGATATCAACAACAACAACAACAACAACAACAACAACGACAACAACAACGACAACAACAACGACAACAACAACAACGACAACAACAACGCCAACAACAACAACAACAGCGGCGATGCTGTGACTGCCGAGCAACAGGAAGCCCAGGAGGGCAGCTCCTCACAGTCCAACTAAGCTGCCACCGCCGATCGCCATGCTCCTTGGGTGCTCCTGCTTCTTGCGAGCGATGTCCGCCAGACATACGATGATACCATGGAAGCGTTACTGATAGTCTTTTCCCTATTTACAGTTGCCTTTGTGCCTGGCGCCCCCTTCGTCGTTGGCAAGCAGTAAAAGAGCAGACTGAAAGAGGACTGCTTCAACTGGCGCTTCTCTCCCATACCTGCTTGACGGGAGCCTCAGGATTTAGTCCTCGCGGCGGCAACATCAACAGCGTCATCTTTTTTTCTTGTCTTTTTCCTACTCTTTCTTGTTCCCTCTCCTCTTCACGATGGTGTTTACTGGGTAGACCACGATGGGGACGCGAAGACAAAGCTTTGGAGGTTGTGGTTTTCCCCCCATCTTTTTTGTTTTATGACTTTTCGCCCTCGCGAACCAGTCAAACCCAGCGAGCAGTGTGTGGATGACGGAAAGCCGTTAATCGGGAGGGTTGGGGAAAAAGACCGCCTTTGGGGGTCTGAAACCCATGGAATTGTGTGTGTGTACGGTTACTTCCTCCCAAGAATTCCCGGGCACTCTCTATTCTCGCCCCTCCTCCTGGCAACTCATCTTCATCGCTCTGCGGTGCTGGGGTGGTTCTAAGGGGTGCGGGTGTCATAGTGGAGCGGTGTTTGTGTGGCTCGCGCCACGATTCGGGTTTCTGGAGAGAAACGAAACCGGCACGGGATTGGATCATCTTTTTCTTAGGGGTAATACTATTCAGATTGGACTGAAAAGACTTGGTTGTTCTTTCTTCTTGAAAACAGCTTCCGGACCTGATCAACATCTCTTTGCGACATTGACATGCCGCTTCTTGAAGATGGCGGCTTGCTAGCGGTACCGTTTGCTTGGCGTGACGGTTTTGGACCCGTTGCTTTTTTGGCCCCTTTTGCATCTGGACCTTGAATTAAGCATATTTTTCGCTTAAGAGCCGGGCCAGGGTGGCTTTTAGGCCGATGTTGGGCTTTTTTACTTTTTACCCTTTTTTCCCCGTCCCTTGTCCGCTTCCCGCTTTTGTATCAGATCCAGTCAGGGGGGCTTTACGGCTTGGGGCGGGACGGGATTGCCTGGTGCTGGTTGATGTCGGGTGGGGTGTAGTAAAATGTGTGATGCTCAGATTCCCCGACAGGGCCGCCCAGCCCCAACGGTTTCACCCTCAGCCCGGGCCGAGCGGGCGGTAGGCGGCAGCCCAACGGCAATCAAGACACATGGTACCCCAGCTGTGGGGGAGGGGGCAGCGGAATGTGTCCACGTCTTGTGAAATGCCATATGTGCCTATACCAACCCGTCAAAATCCTGGGTGTCAGGTGGCACGTCATCCTATATCTGGGCCGAATATTATGCGCATTTCTGTTCCTCACCGCTAGAGCTGCACCCCATCTTCCGACCACGCCGGCACCAGCTCTCGAGCAATCAGCATGGGCCAACCTTATCCCTTGGTCGTCTTCTTCGTAGTCCGCCACGGCGCCCTCGACGACGCCGGCCAGAACCCCGAGAGCCCTCCTCCCCTGCTCGTGCAGCTCCCCGTCGGGCACGCGAGAGCTCGGGACCCGGTGCTGCTCCAGCAGCTTGAGTATGCCCTCCATGCGGCTGCAGGAAGAGGTAAATCTCGCGCACGCCTCCGCCCCGCACCCCCC